AAGAAAAAAGTATTAGAAATGTGAGAATTGAATTTGAAACTCTGGATTGAGCTTGAGATAGTTTCTAGCTGACTAGGTATGCTAGGAAGAACAGAGAATGTGTTCTAAAGGGTGCAATATGGAGACCGTCCGTCCAGATACTTGTTAATTGGTTTTGCTATCCCCAAAGACTCAGTTGGACCCAGGACTTAGTATCAGTATCTTGAGACTACAAGAGACTAAGCAGGGTCACCAGTGGACTGGTCAGCAGAGTTTCCCTTGGTTGACTTCAGTCTTCGTGAAATGCAGAGTAGGAGCAGGGTTACCTGTCAAGGTTTACTGGCCTGTCCTGAAGGCCTGGGTGCACGAGTAGCCTGTGTATGTTGAGGGACTAGACACAACTTCAAAGAGTTGGTTATCTGCATAAAATTATCTCAAACCTTAATGACTTAAAAAAAACACCAACCATTTATTATCTCATCTTTTCTGTGGACAGAGAATCTGTGTGAAGCTTAGTGGACTTCTCTGTCTTACTCTTTCCCTAAACACTGCAATCTAGATGTCTTTAGTTCCTTAATCCCCTGATACTTGGGTCTCCAAATCGTCTGCTGGCTTCTCCAAGAAAGAGACAACAGGAGGAAGAGAGGGCATCCAGATGGAAGCTGGTGTTTACAACCTAATTTCCCAATTTCTGTCCCATAACCTCCACCGTATTTTTCTTGGAAATTAACAGATAATCTCAACAGGTACTTGAAAGGGAGCGTTATTCAGGATTGTGAACACAGGAGGCAAGGCCCATCCACAGTCACCTCAGAAGTCCAAACATAGTAACATGGAACAAGGTAATAACAGCAGAGGATCAGGGAGAATTCAGAGCCCGAGAAGGGAAAACAAACGTACCAGACCGGAACTTTGAAGAGTCAGCGACGACAAACCGAGACAATGCTAGACACAGGCGTAAAAGAGGCTTCAAGGGACGGATAGCACCTGCTGCCCTACCCAGTGCCCTCTTATGGGTTAAGATTTAAGATCGAGGAAAAATTTATGCTGAGCTCATAGAAAGGACAGGGCCATATTTCACCCTAGGATTAGATACTCAGCCCCATAAATGCTTGTTAAGTGCATGAAGCAGGACACTTTGCATTTTTCTTTGTTATAATGAATGACCTTTCATTCTTTTTAGAATTTTAATCTCTGATGGTGTGCTCCCAGAGGAATTAGTGTCTCTCTAATTATAGAACATATTTTCCAAGTATTTAGTCAATATTCACTTTTCGGGGTAAAAGAGGTACTACTCATTACAACGCAAGGTCAAGATATGTGAAGGAAGACTCCTTTGTAACGTATAGGCATATACATACCTTTATGTGTGTTATATGTCGTTTTAGGCAAATAAAAATAGTAAGGTTACTTATGGCTCTTTCAAGCATCCTCAGTGCTATTTCATCCTCCTCCCTCCCTCTCCTTCTGAATTGACCTCCCTTCCCTCCCCTAATTAAAGCCCTCCACCTTCCCCCCCCCACCATTATTTCATCCTTCACAGGGAGGATGTTGGGTCATTGTGTTATTTCAGACATGAGCCAGCCCTCCAGCTGACACAGGATTTTAGCACTGCTTAGATAGTAAGGGTGAGGCCATGATCCTGAGGCAGTCACACATGACTGTCACACACTATGCGTGTCACACACGGTCCTGAGGCAGTCACATGTGACTAACACATGACATCACACATGATCCTGAGGTAGTCACACATGACCACTCCCTTGCTTGGATTACCTCTCCAGCCCACGGAGGGGAATGCACATAAGGCAGGTAGAATCCTCAACGGTTCAGTCCTCAAAAATGACCAACCCCAATAAGAAATGACATCACTCCCCATTCGGCTCCAGTCTGAAAACCCACAAAAGGGCAGCGGCTAGGGCAGCCGGCATCATTCCTCCCTTGGAGCCTTCTTACACTCTGAGATTCTTTTCTCACGGTTCCCTTATCGATCAGCGTTTTCTCCGATCGGCCCTTGTTCTTGTCCTGGCGTGAGACAATAAACTTAGAAGCCTCCCTGAGTTAAGCTCACGAAGAGTGGAGAAGGGCCGTATTACTCTCAAAGTACCCATGCCCATTTCGCAATGATTCCAGATGACCCTGATGTAAGAGAGGGTGCCTCTGAGATTATACAAGGGCAAACTGACTGAGTAAGAGCTCTCTGCTCAAAAGTTTTAATTACAAAGAGAAAGAGCTCGGGAAAGGATAGAGGACTGGCTTTGGGATATTCAGAGTGTCTGGGGCAGAAAAAGAACAGGCCTTTTAGTTGGGGTTGTTGTTAGGGGTAATGGGTGTGTTAATAGCAGGGATTTATCTTTTAATTATAAGAATATTTCCCGTGTAAACACAAGCCATGAGCAGTTTGTCCTGGAGATGTCCTGGCATCTGACAGGAGCAGGCACAGTGGATAGATGTTTCATGGATAAAGAATGTGAGAATTTATGCCCTAATGATGGTGAATATTTACAGAGACCTCTGCTTTAGGGGAAATCACAGAAACCCTAGGGCAGAGAAGCTATCCAAAAACTCTAGAAAAATAGTATTTTAATCCAAACAAGCTTCTGTTCTTCACTTTGAGCTCAAGTCAGGTAAGAAGTGAGAAATGACCGAGGAAAAAAACCTCTTCCTGTTCTCTGCCTTCTCTGTTTAGTGAAAACCCCTCAGCAAATAAGTTTAGGCTCTTTTTAAATTCTTATTTTTTATTTATTCAGTGTGTGTGTGTGCGTGCGCATGAGCGTGTGTGTGCGTGCATGTGTGTGTGTGTGTTTGTGTTTGTGTGTTTGTGTGTGTGTGTGTGTGTGTAGACCCAAGACCAACCTCTGCCGCCATGTACCTTTTTTTGAACAAATTCTCTTCCTGGAACTGGGTGCATGCCAATCAGGCAGAGACCCCGGGGGTCTCTTTCTCCCTAGTGGTGCATTGTACACTACCATGTCATGCTTTTTACATGGCTGCTAGGGATTGACATAGATTCGTACTCTTGTACAGTGGGTGATTTATTTTCCCCTGCCCCCCTCCAACTCCTACAAGTCTAGATTCTTTCCAGAGGAACCTGCAAAGACAAACCCTCACCCAGCCAGCTTCATCCTATTGATTTATCTCCTCCATTTTCCCACCCTTGGAAGCCAATAAGGCTTTATCTTCATTTCCACACCTATATTAATCTGTGCTCAATATCTGTGTATGCCAGAGTTCTGACCCGCTACTCTGAGTTGCTTTCCACTGGAGTTTCTTTTACCGGATGTGCTAATTAGCTGCTTGTGTTAGTGAAATTGTTTGCTTTTCTCACGCCACTGTCTGTCCTTAGAGAGGCCCCTAGCTAGGGAACAAAATAGGTGGGTGTGGTATTTAGCCCTCTCTGCAACTCTCTTCCAGCCTGAGCTTGGGTGCCTTGAAGCAGGGATCAAGAGCGGAAGAGATGATACCCCCCCACCTTTCACTGAAGAGATCTTTTGGGAACAAGAGGTAAAGAGAGTATCAGTCAACAAATGACCGTGTAGCGAGTGACTATGTCTTAATCTAAGTTCCAGTCTTGACTCAGAAACCCCCTTCTTCCTGCTGGGTTTCCATTTTCCTTTCCCTGTGAGATTTAAAGGAAATTTCCTTTTCCTGCAAACGAAAGCAAACAACTCATGTCCTATTGCGATGGGAATAAAGATTCCATTTGGTTTCAAGCTATTTTGTAAATATAAGATATGGCAGAAACGAGGAGCTACCATGAGCATTATTGCAGTAGTGACAGAGATACCTAAGTTCTCATCTTAGAATCAATACCTTTGGATAATCAATCATGGGGAACTGTAAGGTTACTTTTCAATCTAAGATCAGTGTCTGGTATCCTGGCTGCTCCCAATTGGTTGAAAGCATTGTGTACAAGTAGCCTCTTCATAGGGAAAGGTAGCCGTGGTCATAAGCGTGCACCAAGGATAGATTATTTTCAGCAGCTTAAAGATTGGTGCTATGAATCATTTAGCTTTTACTGCCAAGTGACATCTCAAGTTTTTTGGGAACTCTGAGAACAGATCTTATAGTTTTCTCATTCCCTCACCCAAAGCCAACCTACCTCAACTTGTAGAAAAATATCTTCATGTCTCCATCCTAGTTCCTTTCTTTCTTCCCTAAAGGTTTGGAATTTTCACTTGTACTTCTGCTTGTACCACTGATGTTTGAAGAGTTTACTTGACATGAGTTTCAAACACTTTCTTCTCTCAAGATTTTAAACGAAAACAGAATTAGTCCATCTATGTCCACCGAAGGCATCTGACTGTGTTTTCCTCAGCTCCTGACTCTAATAATGGACACCCTTCAGCTGCTTGTTTAGTCCACATGACTTCCAGAGTCAACTGTGATCAAAGAAATGAGCATCAGCCTCAGTTGAGTGTTGGGGTCTGTGCTGGAGAGTTTTATGTCAACTTGACATGAGCTATTGTCACCCGGGGAAACCTCAAATAAGAAAATGCTTCCATAAGACTTGGCTGCAGGCAAGTTGTGGTGCGTTTTGTTGGCTAGTGATGGATCTAGGAGGCCCCATTCCACTGTGTGTGGGGTCATCCTTGAGTTCCTTAAGCAAGTAGACTGAGTATGGCCTGGGGAGTGCTCAGCAATAAGCCAGTAAGCAGCGCCCCTCCATGGCCTCTGCTTCAGATCTTGCCTCCAGGTTACTGCCCTATTTGAGTTACTGTCCTAACTTCCCTCAGTGTTGGACCATGATGAGAAAGTGTAAGACAAATGAACCCTTTCCTCTCTTACTTGATTTAGGTCATGGTGTTTCCTCACAGCAATAGTAACCCTCGCTAACGGGTCCAAATACCCGTGAGATACTCTTGCAAGTCAGATCTACCCATAGGACTAGGATCCTTTGTTTTTCTCCTTATTTCTCCAGGTTCTATCTGGCACTGTTGTGGGATTTGATTGGTCCATCATGGCTTTGATTTTCTCTAGGTCATAATTCAGAATTCAGAAGTCATAGCTAGCAGCATTATGTCTGGGAAAGCCCTCACGGATGTGGAAATGAGGAATGAAGACAGGGTACAGTTTATACACTGGAGGCAAAGCATCCATAACAGCATAATGGCATAAGATGTTCAAACTCTGGGTCACACAGGCCCCTGTTTAAATCCTGGCTCACCTCTGTATCATTGAGCAAGTCACTTAGCCTCCCCTAGACACTGTGTCCTTATCTTCAGGTGTACAAGAGTATTAAAATTACAGAGTTGTTGTAAAGAGTAAAGAGATAGGGGATGAGTCAGCCGGTGTACAACAAACATAGAACAAATGTTTGATATCATTATTATGATTATTATTGCTATGCCTGTAATTAATTACTGCTTAAGAAAACCCAATAACGCTTCCTCAGTAGGGTTTTAAAATAGGGTCTCAAAGTAACTCCACTAGGTAACAGAGACTCATAAGAAGTTCCCATAAAGAATAGAAATGTAAAAGCAGTAAATTTTAAAATCGTGTTGAAAGGAGAATGGCTTTTTATTTCGCAGAGGGAAGGAATTCTCTTGGGATTCCCTAGTTGAAACATGTCAACAAGTTCTGATGAAAACACCAGGAAAGATTACAGGCTACACCAGGACATCAAATGATGAATTCTGACCAAAGTCAACAGATGTTCAGCAAATCTGTGAGTCATTTAATAGATTGCCATATTGTGTTATCATTATACATCTCCTTGACTCAATACACTAGTCAAGGAACAAAACACTAATGTGCCCAATTTATCTTTGAGACAACTTTGTGCCTAATAAGTACACAGTGTCTGAGTGTCTTCATGATGATGATTTTTTTTTCTTCCTCAAAGAGTAGATAGCACTACGTAATGATTGCTAGGGAGCCACAAGACAGAAAGAGGGCAGACATGTCAGCAGGAAGAGATCATGCAAGGGCATGATGGACAGCAGTAGAGTGGTCAAATGCAGGCAGGCACATTACCTGCATTAGGAGGAGAGCAGCCATCCACAGTGAAAAGAAGGCATTGCTCTTTGGGAGTGTTTACAAGTCCACAACAACAGTGTGAACTTACAGAAATTTTAAAATTTGTATGGTGTGTGAGTGAGTGTGAGTGTGAGTATGTATGTGTGTTAGCGAGTGTGTGTGAGTGAGTGTGTGTGAGTGTATGTCTGTCTGTGAGAGTGTGAATGTGTGATTATATATGGGTGAATGTGTGAGTGTATGAGTATGTGTGTGAGTGTGTTGTGTGTGTGTGAGTCTCTGTGTATGAGTGTGTTGTGTGTGAGTATATGAGTGTGTGCATGAGTATATGTGTGAGTGTGAATGTGTCAGTGTATATGAGAGTGTGTGAGTGTGTGTGTGAGTGTGTGGCATAAGTGTGAGTATCGGTCCTTGTTTACCACCTTGTCTGAAGCAGGGTCTCTTTGTTTCTCTGCTGCATACTCCAGGAGAGCTGGCCTGGGAACTTTGGGAGACTCTCCTGATTCTTCTTCATATTTGCCTCAGAGGTGCTGGGATCACAGGTGTGTGCTGAGGTGTCTGTTTTTTATGTCAGATCTGGACATCTAAATTTAGGTCTTCACACTTGTGTAGCAAGCATTGTACCTGCTGAACCCAGGCATGGCATTCTTGAGTTTTCTTTGTGAAGACACATCAGTGTGAGTGTGAAATGAAACATTTATGTACAGATCTTAAAAAGTTAATAAATAACACTCATACCACTCATAGAAGTTTCATTGTTTCAGTCTACTGCTATTGCAAAGAGTTGAAGCTGGGTCAATTTATAAAGAAAAGAGGATTGGTAACAGTTGTAGTCACATGGGAATTCTTTTTCTTTTCTAACATAATATTTTTTTTACTAATTATTCAGGAATTTCATACAGTGCACCCAGATCACACTTGATCCTTAACTCCTCCCAGGTCTACCCTCCCACTCTTGCATTACCTTCTGCCAAAAAAAAGAAAAGAAAAGAAATACATCAAGTCCAATTTGTAATGCCCATACACACATCGGAGCATGGTTAAACCCTGCCAGAAGCCATTGACTGTGAAGAGCTACACTTCATCATCTTTATCACAATTTTTAAGGGCTCTCTTCAACAGCTTCCTGTCTGGACCATTTATTTCTTTTTGTGGGAGTGGGGGAGGAGCTAAAGGTTGTCACAGGAGCCTTCAATGTCTCTCATTCTCAATTATAAGTCTTCAGCCATCGATACCACTGCAAAAGAAGCTTCCTGGCTCATGATATTCAGCGGCAGCATGGATCATGGACTTACACGTGGTTCCCAGCGGCGGCACGACCACAGACATCCACACAGCCTCAGCAGCAGCAGGGACCGCAAACGCCACACAGTCTCCTGCGGCTACCAACCCTCATCTCAGACATCAACATCGTCTCCAGTGGCAGTACGGATCACAGCTATCAACACGCTCCTTCAGCAGCAGCACAGACCCTGGGCATCAAGGTGGCCTCAGGTGGGGATAGCACAGACCATGGACACCAACATGGTCTCTGGCAGAAGCACAAACCATAGACTTCTACGTGGCCTCTGACCTGGACCGTGGGCATCAACACAGCATGAGCACCACAGACCACGGATACTGACATTGCCTGTGGAGGAACCTTTATCCAGAAAACTAACCGTTTTTCATCTCCCGTTATCTTGTTGCTGCTCAGAGCCAGGGTGAACCTTTGGCCGGGCAGTGCATTTGAGGGCAGAAGCTGCCTGAGCTCCAGGCTACTGCTCACCACACTGCTGGTCCTTCCCATACATGTTGTCACACTTTTAGTGTCATGCAACAATCTATTCCACCATCTTTCCCATATATTGCACGGTCATTAAAACGGGACTACAAAATGACTGTGTGTCGTACATTCTTCCTTCCTTGCCGATGGGTGGCATCTCATTTTGATGCCTTTGAGTTTCCACATCTCTGCACTATTTCCTTTACATTCCCTTGCAACCTATTTTGAAAACCTCCCTTTGACATATCAAGATTTCCCTCTCTGGTAATTATAGCACCTGGGCAGTATGGGAGTGTGTGTCTAATGAGCATTTTGGATATTTTTCAGAGACCGCCCCCCTCCAAAACATGAGTGTATTGTATTTAAGGAACCAAGAGGAACAAGGGGAAGGATAGTGAGGAACAAAGCTAGAGAGGTAGGCAGCACCCCCGTGCTACAGTCTTTTATGTGAGGAGTGACCTTGGAGCTGTCCAAAGAGGAAGTGGCTGAAGAAGTTTAAAGTCCATCATGGCACCTTGTGGTGAGCTAATGAGGACTAGACAAAGGATGCCATACTGAACTAAATATAGCAAATATAACAAAGGAAGACTTTGTTGGACAGCAGTAAAAGGAGAGTACCTCAAGAAATACTTTTAATTAATTCAGAAACAATCTCATTTTACAGTTGGGTGTTGGTGGCACACGCCTTCAACCCCAGCACTCGGGAGGCAGAGGCAGGCAGATCTCTGTGAGTTCTAGGTCAGCTGGTCTACAAAGCAAGCTCCAGGACAGTCTCCAAAGCAATAAAGGAAAACCCTGTCTCGAAAAACCAAAACAAAACAAAAAAGAAAGAAAAAGAAAAGAAACAATCTTATTTTACATATCAATCCCAGTTCCCTCTCCCTCCCATCCTCCCATATCCCCCATGGACCTCCCTATCCCACCCCTATCCAGTCCCCAAGGAGGGTGAGACCTTCCATGGGGGAGCATCAAAGTATGTCACATCATTTGGGGCAGGACCTAGGCCTGAGAGAGTATCCCTCCATGGGGAGTGGGCTCCCCAAGTCCATTTGCGAACTAGGAAAAAATACAGGTTCCACTGTCAGAGGCCCCATAGACTGCCCAGGCACCCTAACTGATACCCACGTTCAGGAGGCTTGTCTTGGTCCTATGCTGGTTCCTCAGGTGTCCAAGTGGGGCCCATAAGCTCCCACTTGCTCAGGTCAGCTGTTTCTTTGGGTTTTCCCAGCAGACCATCTTTAAGTCAGTTGAAGATCAGGCAGACAGACCTTTGCCATTATTAGGGAGGAGTATACAAGACTGGACAGAGTGGGTGTCAGCAAGTGGAGTAACCTGGAGCATCAGAGTGACCACACATTGAATCAGGTATGTCTTCCTTTGAGGCCAGGATGGTCTTGTCCTGCACAGGTCAAGGTCAGCTCCTAAGATCAGATCCACATTTTGGAGCTTAGAAGAGGGAAAAAATCATAGCCAAACTTTGATCATGTCCAACTGATGGGCATTTCATCTGGACTGATTACTATGGAGTTTGCCTAACCATTTGTGAAGCAACGAATGGGAACTGGGATGTCTGTAGCTGGTCTGGTCATGTCACAGGCCAGGCAGCCATCAGTACTACGTAGTTAATCACGAAGGGAGTTCTTCATAATAAGCTGTCTCCCAGACTGACGGGAGATGTCATTCTGCAAATATGTTTATCTTATTGGTTGATGAATAAAACACTGTGGTCAATAGGGCAGCAAGACAGGCAGGTCTATGAGATGAGGAGGATTCTAGGAGCTGTAGGGAGAGAGCAGACACCATGTGATCCCAGGATGAGAAGACTCGAGTCAGGACTCTCCAGTAAGATAAGACCATGAAGAAATACTTAGATTAATAGAAATGGGTTAATAATTAAGACAGAGCCAGCCAACAAGAAGACTAAGCCAACAGCTAACAGTATTATAATTAATATAAGACTCTAAGTGTTCAATTGGGGTTGACGCTGCTGTGGGACCAGGCTGGCGGGGAAGAATGCTTGTAACACCAGACCACAAAAAGTGGGTATGTTTTAGTCACCCCAGTTTCCTAGCAGCCTAGAATCAAGAAAAACTCAAAATGGCCCAGAGGTTGGAAAGAGGAGACAGGTCTAAGAGATGCTCAGCAGAGGGCATCAGAGGTTTTGCTGAGAGTGGATGTCAGGACAAGAGTTTTAAGCCTATGTCCGGAGTCCCTGGGTGGGTCATCATAAAGTCATTAATGCATGCAACTGAAGATAAAGAGGGGAGAGAGGTGGGGAGGTTTTCAGTGTGATGCAACGATAGAGATGTCATTGGACATGTTCTGTTTTTCTTCTACCCATCCCTTTTGGTCATCCATTTCCATCTCATCCCCTTATTTGTCTGTAAGGCATCCCTTCTGCAATGTCTCTATCTTAGACTGCCATCCTATGTTGCTTACACTAAACATTAGCTTCCTATAGGCTGCATGCAGGCAGAACCTGATCTCAGTGCCTGACACCATCTACCATCTGTTGTGACTATAGCTGTGTGAATTACGGTGATGCCTCTTAGACTCTCCAAAGTTTAGAGCCATGGTAACGTCTTTCCCTGTCAGCGGGCCAAGCTTGACCTTTCATGCCCTGTTCTCTGTTCCTCTGCTGTTACTCACTTATCCCCTGCTCAACTGAGTTTGCTTGTCTTCTTTAGAAATAAACCCTCACCTTTCCCTTGCAATGTGCTCACTAGGTGTGCATTTTGGTGGCATTTTGAGCACCTTAAAGGAAGGGTTCTGTGTCCTTACTCCTGTCTCTTCCATGCTGGTAGGGTGTTTTGTATCAGGTGGATAGATTCTCTCTGGATGATGATTAAACTGCTGATAAAACTGGAGGCGTAGCTGGCCTGTTGGCTACTCCTAGCTACTCACAGAAGGCTGAGGAAGAAACCAAGCAGCCCTTTTTGAGATCTCAAGTGATTATTGAGAAGGCGTTTGGGACATCCACCTGTGATCTAATTGCTGGAACTTTGTGACCATTTCACTTGGTGGTAGAAAGTTTGACACCACGGACCTGGACAACTATTAAAAGCTCTTTAAGGGGATCAGTGCCCATCATCTCCCTTATGAGACTGTTATATTCTTTTCATGAGCTGGACCATGAAGCACAGAAGGCTGAGCTCTTGATGGCTCAGCTTCAGAATGCACCCATGAGCAATGAAGAAGAATGCTGCCGCTAGGAGCATGGGTGCGCAGCATTCTATGAGCGTGCATTTTAACGCTAGTGTTAGGGCAAACTTCCACCAGCTGTCTAAACATTTACAGACCCAAATAATAGCATGTAAGATCCCTGGGTTCCTGATATTTGCCCTCTTAAAACAGCACTTAGTCATTAACTTAATCACAGCTACTATATGCCAACCAGTGTATTCTGTTTGTAAACGTGACATCTACCCCAGGGAGCACTGGGATGTGGTGGTGGTGTTTTTGTATAGAAAGTGGTGGTATTGTATAGAAGGCTGGCTAATGCAGACATGGGCGAAGGGGTTAATAACCTGAGCTATCTCTCAGGCTGTTCTGTTGGCTGAAGTGGAGGGAAAGAAAATGGGTTTGTGCTAGCCCAAAGATGGCCACCATGTTTTTTCTCATAATGGAATTCAATGTTTCATGGGGAGAAATACCTTGATATCAGTGTGTTCATTTGCAACAGGACATAGCTTTTTAAATAGATCATCAATGGCTATTTTTAACAGACTAAATATTTGCATTTCTCCAAAATTCATATACTGAAGCTCTAACAACCAATGTGACTTTGTGTGGCCTTGAAGAGATCACCAAGGTGATTTAAAACCAGGAGAGCAATCCCGAAGGCAACTATCTTCCCACCAGGCAAGGAGTTCTTAACAAGAACTGTATCAGCAGTGCCTTGACATTGGCTTTCCCATATCCCATACCTGAGAAATAAAGTTCTTATCTTGAGGCTGCCCAAAGTGTAGGATGTTGGTATCAGCTCAATCTAAGACACTCTGCATTGTCTTTTTATATTTGTTGACTTGTCTCTTGATGCCAACAATCCCCATCTTGGTTCTCATGTCTTAATGGCTATATGACATCTTAATTCACACTATTTGTTTTCTTTCTTTTCCTATGGAATGAATTTCTTAGTTTCTGGCTTGCGGAAGGTTCCCTAGCTTCTTGAGGCTCCTGCAAAGTGATGTAGGTCATTACTTCTCTGCATTTCTGTTTCGGGTACCACGCACAAATGCATAAATGGATCTGGATGGCTTCCTTTTCATGTTAGAATTCTGTTTTGGCACTTTCGGTTGTTTATGTGGTATGCATCTTTCCTTCTTTGCTAACATCATTCTTCTTTTGCTCTGGGAGGCAATGCATTCCAGCTCTGAGCAGAGATATCCCAGCTCACTTAAGTTAGGATAAATGAGTCATTATTTTTTACTCCATCTTTATAATTATTGATATATGACCTAGTTCAGGGGGAAATCAAGTGGAAGTCTGCTAAGAAAGGACATGTGCCTTCTACTTGGATAACCTGTGTAGAGCTATGACAGTCATTTTGTAGCTATCCAGATCAGTGCCAACAGGCTACCTACTTTGGGCTTCTTTTTCTGAGAATAATATTTTTAGGATTCTTTCATGATTTAGGGGAATTTTCCTTTTCATAGTTTTTATTCTGTTGTGTAGAGAGTTCACTGTAATCTGTTCCTTGGTTAGTGGAAATGTGACTCATTTTGGGGTCTGGGGTATTATCAATACAATTTCTGTAAATATTCACATGTAGCTTATTTATTTCTGGATATATGATTTCTCTCTTTAATGATTAAAACTTATCTTAGATAATTTTTGGTCATGAGCTAAGTATAGATTTAATTTTACAAGAAATAATCAGTGATATTTTCCGTTCCCATCAATATCTGTGATGATTCAAGTTTCTTTGAATCATGAACAACTGATGTCATCATCTCTGTTCTGTTTATTTCAACCATTCTGTGGGCTCTCGTGACATCCCATTATCCCCGTTATTTATATTTCTCTTGGCTAATGATGCTGAACACTTTTCCTTGTGACTATGGGGCATTTGTGTGTGGTGCTTTTTTGTGTGACACACT